TGTCTCTGTCAGAAGCTGAGAATCATGCACCAAAAGCACTGTAAAACACTACCAAATTACTTCTATCCAACATACAAGCTAAGAATTACCTCACCAGAAGCAGTGTCAAACAACACCCTCATCACCTCATGTCCCTATTAATTATCCTAGCCCTTTTTTAACCCATCCCTTTTTATTAGAAGAGCATTTCAAGAAAGTCAACACAGAAATTCATCTTGCCTAAAACATCTTGAACTCATACTGTAAACTTGTTTGGGGGACGAAAGGAGTTTATAATAAGTTACGCTATGACTATCCAGGAATAGGCATTACCAAAATGACCATGCAATACAGTTTATAGATATGGGGAGTATTTAACTGTCTTTTGGTAACATGTACTATTTTTAAGATTTCTTTTTTTTGGTTTTCACTTGTTTTGAAAACAGAAACATGAAAACATGTTAGGCAGTATTGTTTTCATCATCGGATTCTGATTCTGACACTACAAAAATTAAGTTTTTTGGAAAATATACAGAGCATTTTATACTAAATAATATAAATCTTACCAAACATGTTGTATTGATTAAAAATTGATGAACAAAACATACACAGTTGCTTAAAACATAAAACAGGAAATGTTTTATAAAAAAATGTGTTGGTATAGTAATGGTATGAATGTGCACAAAAAAAAAAAAGACAGAGACTGACCACTACTGGGCAGAGACAATCTTCTCTTTCCTTGTTTATCTGAAACGGTGACCCTCTCTTTAGGATTGCTGTGTGACCTTGAGACAAGTCTAGGTCTTGAACTAACTTCTTCACTCAAACTTTCTTGATTTCGTTTGGAGTTTGGAGGGCCACATGAAGAGGAAAGTGCTTCATGTGTGCTTGCAGAGCTGCATCCATTGGACTGTGATCCAACCATTTTTCCATTTGAGAGGTTTGTGCTAGAGCTTGAATGGGATGGACCAATTATTTCATTTGAAATGGAGGAAGAGATCTGTTTCTTGCTCATGGAGGATTTCATCTGTTTATTTCTTCCATTCTTCATATAACCGGATCCATTATCAGCATGAATCTTAACTCCATCTGTGATATTCATGTCTAAAAAGCGATTTTCCCATGGACGTACGGCCATCCATCTCTCCAACCAGTTCCAGCCCCAGCTATTCTCATCCGGTTCAAAGCCGCCTGAAGTGACATGCTTCTTAGATCCTGCCTGCCACTGAAGCATCAAAGCAGAGATTCCTTTTAAGCTCAAAGACAATTATTATAGCAATAAAGAGAAATGATTAAAAGCTTTTATGGAAAAATAATTTAGAAACTATTAAGACAAGTTCCCAAGAAAAAAAAGCATGTGGTTCGTTTGGAACCCAGAAAATGATACAACAGCCCGTACAATTCCAACTCTGTTGGGGTCTGGGGGTCAAGATGTATGCAATCTTATCTCTGTAAAAACAGAGAGGATGTTTCCGTCAGACCCTAGATGCATTGTTGCATTTACTGCCCAAAACTTCACAGAAAGTAAGAAGCAAGGGAAGTTTGGAAAGAATAGAGAATAGTGGGAAAATAGCTGAGGAATTTCGGAAGAGAAGAAAATTTGAGAATAAATATTAGTTCACTCTTTTTATTTATATATTTTTATTTATAAAGACCGAAGTCCCGTCCACAGAGCGCCAAACGTTCCCCATCTTGTGGGGGTAGGTGGAGGGAACACCGTATATGTTCACAGCCTTTCCCAGATTTTTTTTTGAATATTATCAAGAGGCTGTTTCCAAAGTGGCTGAATGGCGTGACCTTGTCAACAAAGGACCAACTCAACACCCTTTCTATATACAAGAATAAGAAGAAGAAGAAGAAGAAGAAAGGCAGTATAATTCCTAGTTCGTTGGGGTCTTGGGTGTCAAGATGTACGCAACTTTAGCCACTATTTCAGTTAGACCATTGATGCATTGTTGCCTTTACAACCCAAAACTTCATAGAAAGCACAAAGAAAGGGAGGTTTAATGTGCCATTTTGATTTAGTCAATTATTTAATCGAAGCTAAAACATTGTAAAAAATGACTTTCCTTTACTCCATTGGCAATGGACCCGCCCATTCTATTTATAAAGACAAATATATAAACATATGTAGAAAAAATGACTTTTCTTAACTCCATCGGTTGGTTGGTTTCAAAATTAACATGATTTGTACAAGAATGACTATTTATAGTTCGCTATTCACCTTATATCATAAGAGGTATAAGTTAAAAAATCATAAAACCAATGTTAAAAGTGGAATCTAAAAACTTTACTGGTATGCCATCTAAAAATATTGAACCTGCTAAAGGATATTTGCTTGGAGATAGAGGAACACCTCAGTGGTCTAAACTGGTATGGAACAGACTCACCATGCCAAAACACCATTTTTTTTCTATGGCTTCTGTTGAGAGACAGAATACAGACCAATTGCAGACTAAACAAATTTCTGAATATTGATGTAGCCAGCATTCTATGTTACCAAGATAGGGAGGATATTAACCACCTATTTTGTGGAGGTTCATATGCTAAAGGAGCTAATCACAGGGTCCTTGACTGGATGCAATACAACTCTGCTTCTAACAGTCTTCAGAGATTCAACGGCAAGATTTTGAGCATATCTACTTAACTAGTAAGGAGAAGGGGATTATGATTGCTACTTGGGCAGACATTCACTATACCATTTGGAAAGCAAGGAACTGCAAAGGCCATAAGAAGAGGGAGATGAAGGTGGAAGGTTGCACTGAGTATTATTAAAAAGCAGATCAAATACTTTGTAAATTACAAGCTTAGGGATACTGTCAAAGTGTGGAGTTGGTGCTTGTCTTTTTTCTGTCTTCGGGTTGGTTTGTGATACTCTTCCCTGGTTTTAGAGTATTGAAATGAAGTGCATACGGTTCCAAAAAAGAACCCTAAAAAACTAATTTCCTTAGCATGTTTTCCATTCACTACCATTTTCCGTGCTCCAAACATAGCTTAACATTTCTAGGATGTAAAATGAAAACCTGGTTAGCCAAGGCATATGCCATTGCTCTCTCACGCTTAGCTGCTGCCTCTTGTCTCTTTAAGAGTTTGGTTTGAATTTCTTCAACAGACCCAATGCTGTCACACCACCCTTCCTGAGAAATTGGTGTTGAGATGTCAGAGGAAATCAGAAGCATGTTTGTGCTTAACACCATAAGCTACCCCATTTTATATACGGAGTATGATGCATCATAAGAATATAAATCCTAGCAATTCTCAAAGCAAGAACTGACACATCAAGGGCTTGAATCCCACAAGGGTGGGAGCAATCACTACTATCGTGTGCATTACATCCTCATTTTGTGTCAGGAAACCAGAAACAGTAGACCAAATGAAGCCCTGAAAATATCAATCACCGTGGCCTTTTTTTTCTCTTTAAGATATCGGAGTTCTTTTTAAAAAGTAAAAACAGATAGTAATGTAAAAATTACACAAACTCGTTTACCATATATTTTTCTTCCCCATCAAAGAAAAAGATAATAATACTCCGTTATAAACACTAATTATTATTATTATTATTATTATTTTTATTATTATTTATTAATATCATCATCATCATTATTAATGTTATTCTCCCTCCGTCCCATAAAAACAGTTCATTTTCTTATCTTTTTTTTTCCCAAACAAGTCCAATTTTAACAAAAGAAAATAATTTTGATCTTATTTAATATTTTCTTTAAAAAATTTCCTAAACAAGTTCAATTTGTTAAATTTAGTTAAACCATAAGTCTATATTTGGCGATTTCTAATAGTTGTACCGCGACAACAAAAAACCTAGTGTAATCCCATGAGTGGGGTCTGGGGAGGGTAAAATGAAGGCAGACTTTACGTCCTCCTGCGAGGGGTGGAGAGACGGTTTCTCATAGACCCTCAACAAAGTTGTACTGCTATCAAACATGACTCTTTTAATGCGACGAAGAGAGTAATAATATGAAAAAGAAACACATTTTAAAACAATGCAATGATGAACTATTATTGGTTCTAAGCAATAATCAAACTATAGTAGATGCTTACTTCTATTTCCCGTACATGGGCTTCATGTTCTAGCTTCTGCTGAAGTATGTGATGTGATGTTTGACTCTCCAGTGCAATACGAACGCGCCTTGCTCGGATACGAGCTTGAACTCTTACAAGAGCTTGCATACATCGAAGGGTAGTAGCAGCTTGTTTTCTTATGGCATGACCCCTCACAAGTGCTTGAAGTCTCACTAATCCTTTTAAAGCCCGCAGAGCACGCCTAGCCTAACAATCACCATTTCCCCCCAAAACATTCAAACAATCTACCTTGGACTTCAATTAATGAATCAATGATAGTTACATGTTCTGAATTCAATATATAGTTTGTTTGGTGCATGTACATGTATTGACATTTAATAGCATTGTGACTATAATGATATTTCCGAATTCATTTCATTCCATATAAACAACCATTTCCAAAGTTGTGGGTCTCTTAAAGTTCATTAGAATAATTGTGTCTTATATGCACATTCCTAAGAAAAACTTGACAAAACCATACACTCAAATCTTGTTGGGTCACAACATGGATTGTAAGTTTGTAACAAACAATACCGTTGGGTCGGGGGGGGGGGGTTGGGGGTGGCAGAATCTGTTACACCCTTGATGCATCCTAAATTGCACACATATTGGAAACATGGAAACGCCAACTTTTCCAAATTTTATCAAGGATTTGTGTGTCGAGACATCCCCAAGTACCAAAACGGGGATGTTTTGAGGAGGAAACCAGCACTTATTTGAAGAATCTGTGCAACATAACTGCATCAGCTGCATTTATTACCCAAAACTTCATAGAAAGTAGTCAAGTACAAAGCAATGGAAGTTTAACGTAACATTTTGATTTAGCCCAATATTTCCCCGGGGTTAACACATTGTGAAAATGACTCCTTTAGCAATGGACACACGCACTATGTCATAAATTCCAATAAGCATTAAAGCCTTTGTTACACGTAAAACTATCATATCCTTCTTTGAATTCAGAAGAAAAGAAATCGAAAATACATTCATTGAAGATTGGTCCATTATATGATGTATAGTTAAAGATCAGAAAATAAGTTATTGATTGCATTAAAACTGAAGTCTAAATAGGTAACGGCTTTGGAAAAAAGAGGCAGCAATATCTACAAGAATACTTCAACTACATGGTGAATGATATATGCACCAAGTCTAGCAACCAACTTGAGTTCAGCATTGGGAGAGAAATCAGTACCAGAAATCCTCTAAAAGCAGTTTGAATACGTATTGCAGCCCATTCTTCTCTCATGCTCAGTTGACTTTGAGCTGCATCCTGCACTTGATATGAGCAAGAAGGCGAGCCAATACCATCAGGAACTGAAATGCTAGCATCTTCAATGGATATAGAAGCATCATCAATATGACTGAACTCATTCTGAAGTAGGTCCCTATCAATCTCAACAGAATGCTTTCTCCCATGTCTAGACTTTCTAGTGCTTCCACTTTTCTGCAATTTAAGATAAGTTGTTCATCTTTGCTGATAAGTGTACATAACTAGCAAGGTAGGTGTCAAAAAGGAAAACTACTAGTGGTATGCAGAAAGGATTGCTGTTTTGGAGGAAAACTTTCCACAATTTGTAGTTTTTCACTTGAGAGAATTTGTTCATCCTTGCTGATAAGTTTACTTAACGATATAGTAACTAAAACTGCATCAAGAATCGTGGAGAATAACATTATCAAGAAGACAATGCTCACATTTTCATCCAACCCAGTGGCATATGATTTCTCAGATCTTTTTAGACCAATCAGTGCCCTAAACCACTTCCCAGAAACTCCCATGACAGAGTTGCTTCAGGTCTCTCAACCTCAAAGTCTCAAACCTGTAGCATGAAATCTCAACACATTTAACAATGGACACCAGTTATTTAGAGCTGGCTAAACAAAATAAGTGTACTCCCTTTTTGTAAAATAAATTAATGATTAAATGTTTATACAAAAACGAGGGAGGCATGAGAGGGTGTTTCAAACAAATAGAACAACGAAAATTACGAAACCAAGCTAAAGCTTCAAGAAAAATTAATGAGGAACCATGTTTATTTTGAACATCCATATAATTCATGTTTATCTAAATAAAGGAAAATTTTAAAAGGCTCGTACTGACTCTATTACATTCTCTTTGGTACATCATCCGATTATAACGGCTAAGCAATGTTTGACAGTCTCTTCTAATATAGAAGCGTAGTGCCCTGCTTCAGTTTCAACAAAAGGAACTCCATATTTTTAAAGCAAGTCAAGAAATAAACGATCTTTATTCCTTTCCTTCAAAAAAGTAGAAACAAACATCATATGCGAGTGAAGTAATGAATTTTAAAAGTAAGATTCTAATGCACACACTATAGATTTTGAGAATGCAAAATGCAAGGAAATGAGTAGGATACCGCTGCTTTAAAAACATAAAAATGAGATCGTTTTTTTACACTAAAGCAAAAAATTAGGCAAAAAACTTTTTTTCATTTCTCAAACTAGACCTTTCGACCCTGAACATATTTTTTAATTCGAAATTCAAACCATGCAACAGCTGTGATTTTAAATACAATATCATGCATGAAAGGCTTGAACAAGCACCAAGCCAAGTATGCAAATCATGTACATATACACACCTTGTTTTCAAAATTAAAAATGACACGGGTAGTTTGTACTTAATGAAGTTGACTTAGTCATAAAAATTGTTTGACAAAACCATAAGGGAACAAGTAATACGTTGATCGGTTAAGCAATAGACTACCAACCAAAAGGTGAATCTCATTAGATGATAGTGAAAACTACACTTAACAGAACATTAGGGAAATTCTTCGTTCAATCTTCCTACTACACTTAAATGATATCTCATTGTTTGAACAAAAGTATTCTTCTTTCAATCCTCCTACTATAGGTGTACTTCCACCTTGGGACCTTTGAGTTTAAATTTCACCAGAGTTAAAGTACATGAGGTAGGGGTAATCCACAAGGGTAATGAGTAAAACAGATGGAATGTCGTAGTCTAATGGATGGATGACAGTAATCAGCTGAAATTTGGGAGGCAGTATCATGGAGATAGAGCATAGCAATCAGTTATGGGATGTCATTATTACATCCATTATGGCATCCAGCGCAACACATGGCCGTTGTGTTTTTTTGCATGACTTTAAAACGTTAAATAATCTTACACAATTAATTGACACTACAAAGTACAAATTTAATGCTGCCAGCCCCAACTAGTTGTGATTAAGGTGCAGTTAATGATGATGATGCAACATATGGCAAATAATTGAAAACAACTTGACAGTTAACTGTGGAACTGATCAACTAATAATTTCCTAATGCATTGTACAAGTTCAAAATGGAAATATCATATAATTAAGTGGTTGTATAAGGATACTTCGAGATAGTTATTCTGTTGTAGGGGCATAGCCGCTTAAGGCAGGCAAATGCTAAAGCTCTGCCCATGTAATAATTTGGTATGGTGATGTTTTAGTGCCATCATTGCTTCAAGAAACTACAATATGCTATTTTAAAACCTTAACTCTTCAATAACTTAAGAACATGAACCATTTTGTGCAACAACCTTAGCCGTGTATGCATAAATAGATTATTATTTATTAATATATCTCATGCGTCAAATATTGGATAGTAACTTGAGTAGTGCTTTAAGTCTTCAAGCAATGTGATATGTGATACAGGCTGAGAGATGCGAAAGATGCACTTTGGAAAGGTCATGAGAAGAATCTTGGGGATCAAGACTTGCCTTAACTATGAATTTTATCAGTTTTGGGATATAATTTTTATCTGTTCAGTAACATAGAAATATACTCCGTAATAATTATCAGTGTTATAATTGGTTGTATTAGTATCTTTAAGATATTATTTATTAATATATTATTAGCATATATGGATTGCTCATTAAAAGGGAATATTTTTAGTATTTGAATATTCAAATTATTAGTATAGGAATATTATGGTTATTGCTAGACTAGCTACTTATTATTGGAAAACTGCCTAAAATATGAATACTACCTACAATAAGACTCTGTACTTCCCTTTATACATTGGTTTGAAGTCAATAATAATCTCAATCAGTTAAATGAATCCTTGGCGTATGTAACACAAGATTTTTTTGGAGAACTCTAAGAGGAAGTAGGAGAGCACTCAGCAAGAGCTCTTAAACTTATTTTTAATCCTTTACTCATGATGAACCTGGGCATAAAACAAAATGCTGGTACCTTGAAATTGGGTTCCAAAATAAAGATTATAACTTTCAAGACATTGCACGAACGAAGATATAAGGAGCTCAGATCCCGTGGTGCTACACCACAAGTCCAATCACAATAACAAAGAAAGGGTGAACTGGATAAGCTCTAATGATCTATGTTAGATAATAGTAATAATTATCTCTGTTATGGTAGTCTTTGTATTTTAGTCAGCTTCTATTATTGATTTCTATTCCTAGTTGGGCTTATTATCCCCTGTATATATATTCTGTCATGTATTTTATTATTCCTTGAGTAATACAATTATTCCATTATTCAATAGGTATTAGAGCCACTGCTCTTGGTGACCTAAATATCTTCTCTTTCAACAGTCTGCGTGCTTAAGAGCCGCCACCGATCCCGACGAGCGTGTCTACCAGCCGCCGTCCCTTATCCTTCTCTTTCTGTCCAACAAATTATGAGTGTGCCCAACAACTGCCGTCTCTCCCTCTCTCTACCAAAAAAAATTGTGTGCATGATTGAGGAACTGAAAAGCTGCATTTGTCTGTATTTCTTCTAGAGTTCAAGAGCATGAAAAGCGATAGATAAGCTGAGAATGACCCAAAAGGAGAAAAAAAAAGAAATTCTTGCCCTTGCTCCAATCGTCAACACTCTCCGACAGAAAAGAAACTCAGCACACACCATCTCAAGCTTGTTCGTCACGTAACGAAGATCTGTCTCTCTATTTCTAGCAGACTTACTCACGAAGGCGTTATCTTCTACACGGTTCTAGGCTCTTGTTTCCAAGCTTCCACTCGTGACACGAGTTCAGCTTGAAGGGAGATGTTAGAAAATAGTAAAAAATCATCTCTGTTATGGTAGTCTTTGTATTTTAGTCAGGTTCTATTATTGATTCATGTTCCTTGTTAGGGAAATAATCCCCTCTATATATACTCTGCCATGTATTTCATTATTCCTTGAGTAATACAATTATTCCATTATTCAATAACTTAGATCAAAGAGGAAGGGACCAAGGAGCATGAACAAGTTGGAAATGAGACTCAGAATTGAAAAAGACGATTTGAAGACCCACTGGCCACTGCAGTGTTGAGTTCATTGCCAAGAGTAAAAAGAACATCATAGTGGGATCGAATACAGAGAGGAATAGGATTCATACCCCACTGTGGTGGGGCATTCTTAAGGTGAACATCAGATCCACCTCCACACCGGCGGTCACAAGGCTACCTGCATCAAATATAATGTAAAACTTCGTTTCCTGCATGGAACCTTAATATTTGTCCAAGTGTCATCTGTGGGCACACAACTAAAAATGCATGTAATGGAATGCCATCAAATGGTCTTGTTTGATCTTGATAGCCCTCTCTTCAACCCGGTCAAGCTCATTGGTCCAGTGAAGATGCAAAAGGAAGCTACTATTGAAGGAAATAACATTGACAATAACATTGACAGATAAGATTGAGGAAGGAGAGTAGAGGGAAATCCACATTACTATTGTAGATGTCATTTTCCGGATGTATGAGGAATTTGGATAAACTATCAAAGTATCTCCATGAAAAAAGGTTTTTCCTAAAACTCACCCCCACTGCCTTTTCTGCCCAAATTGTCAATCTCTGCGGTTACTCTCGTATAACATCCAAAAGAATGTCCTTCCGGGACAGCCTCTCTACCTTTTCTAGGTAGAGGTAAGTCCCCTCAAACCTCATTAATGGGTCTTTACTAGATTGGTTGTTGTGTTTGTCGTAACATCCAAAATAAATACTCCATACTTGTTTTCACAGAAAATTACTCCGGATACTCTCGATTTTCTATTAAGAACTCCCAGGTCAAACATTATTTGAAATATGCTTCGAGGTACCCTCGATTTTCTTGTAAGAACTCCCAGATTCCACATTATCGAAAAATTTGAAATAAACTCCAGGGTCCTTAAAATTTGTGGCAATATACTCTGAGGGTATATTCCGTCTATTTGGTCGTTAGGATTGAAAGTTCCGTTACTTTGACATGTACTAAGTTTTACATAATCATTTATTAAATTTTAATAAAATCCTTCAACTTGTTAAAGAAACGAAACTTTCAATCTTAACACCTAAATGGACTAAATGTACCCTCGGAGTATAATATCACAAATTATAAGGACCCCGAGAGTATATTTAAGATAATGTGGGACCTGAGAATTCTTACCAGAAAACTAAGGGTACCCCAAAGTATATTTCAGATAATGTGGGAATCGAAGGGTACCTCTAAATAATTCTCTGCTTGTTTTCATCATGGTACAAATCTATGGGACGTTGGGCAATGCATATAATCAAAGACATGAAAAGCACCATATTTCTCACCCTCACCAAACTAGAACTATAGCTAAGTAATGTAAATTTTCTTAATTCTCCTTCACAGCTCGTAGTCCGCAAATTCTAGGGAAGTAACTCCCATTTTAAGAATTTTTCAAGGAACACAGTTCAACTTAACACTTGCCTTATAAAGCTGAAAGGAAACCCGAAATGGAATTCGAACACATGATGATGTAATTCAATTCAGAGACAACAATGCAGATATATACCTATGTTGAAAAAAAGAAGCTAAAAAGCTTGAATGAGTCGAAGTAAGGAGAGATAGATGGAAAGAACCTTCTGGTCGGTGGGTGAATTAGATCGATGGATCAATCCAAATATCTAAGATCCAGTGAGGAAGGAATCCGAATCTCGAGCCAATCCACTCCGCATTTTACCCTCAGCTAAGAACCCGCGATAAAGCTTGGTCGATGATTCATTCATCAAAGTTCAGATGAATTCGAATTCGGTACTTTCTTGCTCGATGATAATAAAGCTTCATATAAGCCTAGGTGGGAAAGGAATGGCAACGTCGTCGTTTAGAATACTATAGTCGTGGCATTGTTACATTGTTTAAGGTGTGAAATTTCAAAACGTTCCTTTTGTCAGTTTGTGTATCCAAATTAGTCATTAAGTAATAATTACTTGCTTGATCTTTATAATTGGAATTTATTCTCTAAGTAGTTCTCAGCCAAAAATATTCAGTAAATGTCAGTCAAATAAAAGTATTTTTAGGGGTGACACAAGTCGGATCGGGCTGAATTTCATAGCATCCGACCTCGACTTGTTTTTATAACAAACGGCTGAGAAGGTGTTGAAAAACTAATAGAGCATTGGCAGTTGTGAGGGCACCCCTTGCCTCGCAGGCCACATCAAGTTTTTTCCAAGTTTGCCGAGGAGTGGTAAACCGTGTCACCCTGCATATCAATTCAGGCCCGTGGCAACTATGCTCCTTTTCTCTCCTTTTTTTTTGGTTTTTTTACTATTATTTTTTTGTACAAAAAATAATTTATTTATAAAAGGAGTACATTCATTTTTATAAAAAAAAATAAGTAAAATAATTTTTTTATAAATAAAATAAGTTTAAAAGTTTAAAAATTGTAAAAAATAATGACTTGCCATTGCAAAGCATACCACTTTACTCACTTGTCACACACTGACTGGACAGATTTTGATTGGTTAGAATACTCCACGTCACCGTGTGACATTCCATTTTTTACTCGCCATTGCCGATGCTCTTAGGAATTGACTCCTGCCCGACTTGTTTAAACCGGTTCAGTTTTGCATGTCCGCAGGTAGAAAATTACTTCGGGGTACCATCGATTTTCTGGTAATGACTCCCAGGTCCCGCATTGTCAGAAATATACTCCGAAGTAGCCTCAATGTTTTGGTAAGAACTCTCATGTTCCACATTATGCGAAATATAGTTGGTGTCCTTAAAATTTATGATATTATACTTCGAGGGTACATTCCACATTATGTGTTACTTTGAGAGAAATACCAATTTGCTACATCTTCTTCACCAAAACAAGTTGTTTAAGTCTGTTACTCTAATCCGTCCAGGTGTGCAATCCCTTTCGAATTTAAGTATTAACTTGGTAATCGTAAAATTTAAAACTTTTCAAATACTTATTTATCATGATAATAATTTTCATAACATAAACAGTACGAAGTATTCAATAATATTGCGGAAGCGAATTTAATATTGACATATCATAAATCATTTCAAACTTGTCACATATATCCATCTCGACAATCTCGTCCCATCTGCCGCTAGGATCACATTGTTCTTACTGTTTACTTGCATGTAGCAAATAAAACACACTACACGCTCAGCGGCAAAGCTAAGCAAGCATATCTAATGTGTCGAACATCCATATAAACTGAATCTAAATTCATAATCAAATCATTTGATAGCATGCACACAATGTTCATTTCAGACATTCACAGTTTTGATATTGTTCAGTTCATATCAACACATTTTATTCAATTGAGATATTATTTCGAAAGTGCTCTTAAATTATTGTTAATTTAAGGCCAAATAATAGCAACGCTATTAGCTATTCTTAGTCTAAGGCCATATCATAACAATGCTCTTAGCTATTCTTAGTCCAAGGCCATATCATAACAATGCTCTTAGCTATTCTTAGTCTAAGACCATATCATAACAATGCTCTTAGCTATTCTTAGTCTAAGGCCATATCATAACAATGCTCTTAGCTATTCTTAGTCTAAGGCCAAATCATAATTTCATTTTCAGACGCTTAAACTATAATTAGTTTAAGGCAAACAATTCTCAGACGCTTAAACTATAATTAGTTTAAGGCAACAGTTCTCCGACGCTTAAACCATAATTAGTTTAAGGAAATTATTCTCCGACGCTTAAACTTTAATTAGTTTAAGGCAGCCAACAGTTCTCAGACGCTTAAACTATAATTAGTTTAAGGAAACAACAATACGGTGATTAATCATCATTGCGTAAAAGTATTTCCAAACGAGTGATCTTCCAGTTTGGTCTACGAATTCCGTTATTACGCTATATCTAAATCACCGAATATTCATATTTTCACAGTTCCATTCTAATCTGAGATATATTCTAGAGGTCTACTAGATAGCCTTAACATCAATTATCTAAATGGGTATATCTTAGAGCTCTTTTAGATAACCTTAACAATACAAATCATTTCATAATTATCAATGTATCCATTTTACTCATGGTTTAATCATAAGTAATCATTTTAATCAGTAGGTTCATTATTCATAATTATCCATAATAATTATTCATCATAACCATTAATCAACATAACATCCAATAGCAAATATCGGCATAGTTTTGGGTGTTAACACCCTAACTTACCGTCATGCATCACATAACATTTTATTTGTTAAAAACATCATTTTCATGGTGAAAAATCATCTTTACATTATTCATAATTGATTGGTATCAAAAATATAATTCAATAGTTCAAAAATCGAGTTTCGAGAAAAATATCTGTTTCTGGACGATACCCGGTACGATACCTCGGCACTGTGTCACGGTACCTAGGTACCAACTGCCACCATTTAGCCACCGTTAGGCAAGCAATCGACGGTAGGCAGCCACCGTGGTTACGGTAGGTGGCTACCGTGCCGGTAGTACCTTGGTACCGTCCGGGCGGTACCATGATACTGTTCTGTGTGTTAACTTCAAACAGTGTCATCTTCAACCTCGGGCCAATTTTCGAAAATATCATTTTTAGTCACCAAAATTCAATTAAACTATATAGAAATGTTCTCCAAAGATCATAGATCATTTCAGCATCATTAGTTCGTAGTTTTAACATAAATTTCAAAGTTTAAGATTCTTGGTTCTTCAAACATGTCAAACACAAAACTCAACCAAACGACCGTTTATGAACGTAGAAATGATCTATATGAACATTCTAGTCACTAGATATATCTACGTGCTTACCTCGGAGCTAAACGATGATTCCGGTGTTAGAACGACAAAACTTACAGCGAACACCATGGCTTGCTCCGGCGACCTCTAACGAAAATGACAACACCACTGCACTCCTCTCTCAACAAAGAATAGAATAGAATGTAATATTGTGAGAAATGATGAAGAATGGAGGGAGTTGTTGTAGCATTTTATAGGAGAAAGGAAGAGGAAGATGACAAGGTTGGGTTGCTATCTGCGATCCTGCGTTCGGCGTAGTGGGATAGGCTGCGATATGTTCCGATTTCCTATGCCATTCCCTGATTGGAACCAATTTTGGTTCCAGTCGGGGTACACTTTTTTGTCCAACTTTCTCCGAATTGAATCCCGTTTGCACCGTTGCAATCAGACAGTTAAACTCTATCCAACGATATAATTTTTATATTTATTTGTATTACTTTTTCTGACATCATATTTTTAGGTGTTTTACTTTGAAAGAGTCAAAATTGATTTAATTGACCTTTATTCAAAAAGGTTCTCACACTTAATTTGTATCATTTGTTCTCATAATTTATTTCAATAAATTATTTCATCACGTATCAATTTCTTAATTATTATTGATTTGGGTCTGTACGCTGGTTCCCAATCAAGACCATACATGAAGTCAACACATTGAATTTATCTCTATGAGATTTATCCAAATTGTGATATTGGATATCAAAACAAGTTTTATTTTGGCCCAAAGCCCAACAACAATTTATTTTAATCAAAACATATTTGATTAATTGAATAATTATTCATTAAAAATTTTAGGGTATGTTTTGGGGCGTTACATGTTAACTTGTGAGACATGCACAACCGTGCTTTACTTGCGAAAAAAGCAGAATAGTTGATATCTAACAGAAGACTTCAACTGTGACTCTGCTATGCATATTTGATATTCAACAAGAGACTCCTGATGCAACTCTACTAGAATTTTACTCTAGCATATATATTGAAGATACATCTCATGAGAAGGCAGCGAGTGAAATAGATAGAAAAGGAGTCAACAAGAAAAGAGTGAATAAACAAACAAAGTATGATCACGCCTCTCAATTAACATCTGAGCATGGATATATACTGAGAAGAAGGTCACTAATCTTTATTCTGATCATTGAGAGATTATCCAAAAGTTGATTAGTGGTGATCTGGAATCAGGCCAGCAACACATTACACATCCTTTGTGTAGAACATGAAGAAGGTGTGACAAGCCCAAGAGGAAGAGTCAGAGAGTTTGTAGTCAATAATCACTAGTAAGTTTCTAATCAATACATTGACAATCTGGTGTAGTTGATTGTAAACGCTACAATGATTGTGTAAAGAGCTATTACACGAATGTCGGCCTCGCAGACGTATGAGATTCAGCTCCAAACTGCGAAAGCAATTCTTGTGTTTTTTCTCTACTTTAGTGACAGTGCTACAACAGTACTACAACATCATTTTCTGACTATATAGTTGATTATTTTGTTAACATTCTCGTTATTTGATTTCGCTATTGCGTCCTACAAATTTTCAATGATCACGTGATTTGACATAAAGCCATCAAGAATGGGATTAAAGACTTAAGTTAGGGTCATCATACTACGTTAATTAGGAACATTATGTAGGAGCGCCATTTTAAAGCAATGCTGCACTAGTAAAATCAAAGAAAAAAAAAGTCAAATTTCAATGTCTACTGAAATGGATTTCCAATACCAAAGTTAGAACCTCCATTCCCGATGCCTGCGGAGGCGCCGCCGTAAACATCATTCGATTCTGATGACGCCGGTACAATAATGGGCGGCGACGACACGGTGGGGAATAGTCCGGAACCGTAAATACCTTTTCCGGCATTATCGCCGTCGACGTCGAGCCCTTGATCGTACAGGAATCCTTTGAATACGTGGCCACCGATTCTCACCACCGCCTGGTAAGCGTATTCTTCGTCCTCGCCGCCGTCCACGGGGCTCACTCGCACGCACCTGAACTCCGCGTGGGCCATCACCTGCTTCGGCATAGAGCCGCCG